CTCCATGGATATAACGCACTTATTCCCTTAGGCGGCGAATGTTCTTAATAGTTGACGCACCCTCAAACATTAAGTACTTTCTCCGTGGAATTACTCCGTTGACGAAAATGTGCCATGCAAAATCCACGCGCTAATTGAAACAAGTGAGAGGGTAGGCTTCCGCGGCCGGAGTCAGTATTTACTAGGCTGTCCGGGTGACGCCGCCCTGAGGAAGCCCTGAGGATGCGCCATGAGGCCGCATTACGCCCTGAGGAAGGTCGCAGAATGGGTCGACCGAAACGTCGCCATGGACGCGGCGTCACCCGGACAGCCTAGTAAATAATTGCAACGAGCCCTGCCGCCAGGCCAATGGGCGCGAGGGCGGCGCTGGGGCCGCTGCTGCGGGTGGAGCGGCTGCTGGGGCTGCTGCCCCTGGGCGCGGCGGAGGCGGAGGCCGAGGAGGACGCAGCGGAGGTAAAGAAGGCAATTAGAAACTGCTCTTGGTCAGAAGGAATTCTGTTGTGTGTGGCATAAAAATATGTCTATGTAATATTTTCTTCCAGAGTGCTTTACGAGGTGAAAACAATTGGAAATTTAATTGTTAAATCTACAGAATACCTCACTTAAGATGTTGCCGTTAAATATCTCTTGAATCGTTGCAGATATTGAAATGCGATTCTCTCTAAAAACTATGTAAAAATTATGTATTTAAAAACTTTCGTGTCATTGTCGCCTTGGTCTTCCGGGATATCTTCTTCCCACAGGTCTAGTATCTCTCACGACCCTTACAATTCTATCTTCATTCAATCAATGTGTTCATTCCATTCTCTCCCACGTGATATTATTCATTCAGAAATAGGACTAATTCTACATGTTGTTCTAATGTTTTCATTTCTTTCTCTATCCAAGTACGTTTTATTAAAAAATGCTCAACACACGCATTGATGCGACTTCTAGCTGACGATGCATGCTTTTTGCTTCACCTCGGGTCTCTGCTGCATATGTTAAAATCGGTCTAACAACTAATTAATATATTCTTACTTTTGACTTATTTTCAAAAGTACGGAATGAGTGTACTGAAGGAAATATATCAGAGTTTGATATTTTTCTGTCAGTACAAATCAGACTAATTAACAACTAACAAACTAATTTATATATTCTTACTGTTGACTTACTTCTGTGAACTCATTCTAAAATTAAGAAATACATACCAGCGTTTGGTGTTTTTCTCTCAGTACAAATCAGACTAACAAACTAATCTAACTACTGATTTATATATTCTTACTTTTGACTTACTTCAGTACACCCATTCGAAAATTAATAAATATATACCAGCGTTTGGTATTTTTCTGTCAGCACAAATGGGAACGTTCTGTTGCCAGACGCAGGCGACTGGGGCAGGGGGGTCGCGAGGCAGCCGGCGCCGGCGGGCTCTGCGCGCGCACGCGGCGCTGCTGTACCTGGCGATGCTAGCGCTGGCGGCGTTCACGGCCGCGCCGCGCGTGCTGTCGCTGCTGCGCGGCGGCCTGCACTTCTACCACAACATCGACAGCTACCAGCTGCTGGTGAACATGTCGACGGCGGCGGCCGTGCCCGCCACCCACTGGGCGGCCGCCCCGCGCCTCAGGGCCCTGCTGCGCCGCTGGCGACGCTTCGAGCGCCAACTGCAGCGCTGCGAGCGCCCCGTGCGCGGTGCGTGGCAGCACGCGCTTCCGTTGCCTTTCACGCGGTCGCCGCCATTTTGTTGATAATGTTGCTCTAGTATTCGGAGAAATTCTACACAGAAATGAAAATCCACACCCAACGGACGGCGTCCGTTAAGGATTTTACAGTCGGCCGTCCGTTAAGAACAATCGAAAGAAAGAAAGTATTGCTAAAGATGGTGTATGAATACACTCATTTCAAGAAACTGTATTTATTGTTCATGAGATTTTTCTTATACGAAAATGGTGTTTTGAAATGTATTAAACCGTCGATAACACAAATAACATAATCTGTATCAAATACATACCTCTTATTTTAGATACGCAGTCAAAGATCGCTTGCAAAATGACAAAGTATATAGTATGTGTTTCCCTGGAGTTATCCGCGAAGAGATTATTCTGAATTACTTCAAACGTTTAGAACGTTATGTTCAAATAATAAAAAAGTAAAAGTTAAGTTGGAAAGTTAGTTGACTAATTTACCCAGTAACATCGCCCATAACTTCTACCCGGATCGCAATAACGAAAGGCAGTTTTCGCTTAACAATGCGGAATTTTGGAGCAAGTACCGTGCCTTCGAAAAATGGTCTATAATATTTTTAGTTTTCGAGAAATTTAATAGGCTACTTTGCATGAAGCCTCCAAAACATCTTCATTTTTTTTCAAATTCTTATCAAGTTTGAAAATTATTATCATCTTCGTTACGCTACCAATTTTTATATCGTTCTTTGGAATGATCGATTTTTGGAATTTCAGTAGAAGACAAGTTAAATCAAGATGAATAATGGGGGGGGGGGAAACTCTCATTCTGATCGTTAAAATTGGTGTTTCTTAGTGTGACTTCAGAGTCTAGACCATGGATTGCTGTAGTTATGCTTCTTATCTCTCACTGCCACCCCTCTCAGTCTTCCCTCTCCAAGCAACAGTCTTGACGCCGCGAAGGCCACCTTCCCCGAAGGCGAGAATTGCAAGGACTGCTACATGAAATATTCATATATAATTCAAAACTACATGTCAGAAATTCTAATTATACATTCAAATTACTATTAAAATACTAACATATGATACATTTCATTCCTCTTTTCATGATATATCCATTGCGGAGAAAAATTTATAGCTGCATTTAAAAAATCAAAGAATTTAAACTTGTCGAAAACCATTTTTTTTACCATTTCTCTATTGCACGCTACTTGCCCCATGATTCCTCATTGTCCAGAGAAAACTGCATTTCTATATCCTGAACCACCTAGAAGTTATGCGGTGGTCCGTAGGTGAGAGAACCTGTGTACATTCAACTCCACCGTTATTTTACACGGTTAGCGAAAGGCGGGAGAAGGCCGTGGTAGTGCTGATAATTCCCCGCTGCACACGTCTTCGGCCTCCTTAATTTACACCAATGAACCTTGATTTTGTCCAACGAAAATTTAGCAACGAATTTTTGTGCCAAAAGTACATGCCTGCTTGTTCTGCCCTTGAGAGGGTTAACCACCTTTTCAGGCGAGATCTTCGACTATGAATGCTTGTCAAGGAGCGAAACTATCATTATCATTAGAAGATACCCCTGCGCCTTGTGGGTGCAATTCTGACTCATTTACCGATTGTTTAAAAAGCTGTACACTTCCACACAGCCCAATTTGGTTTTATATATAACATACATTGACAGAATAGCAATACAAGTTCATTTCATTCAACCAACTCAGTTCCAGACTGTCTGATCCAGGGGAGGGGGGTGAAATGGGGTCATGCTCCCCACCCCCAAGAGTGTAGTTAGAGTTTTCGTTTACCTCCCTTTATTTGGCAAAAGCGATTTAAATAATTGTTTATGTTCGAATTATGTGTTATTATTGAAACAATAATATTGTATAGTACCATATCTACAGTACTTAAGCAATATAATAACAAACATGTTTGTTATTTAACAAAAATCTGCGGTGAGTGATCGTCTGGATCCGGAGGCTGTTTCTGATAGCGTGATCGCGCTGCCTGCCAGGCGCGGCGCAGGCTGCTGAGGCGTCGGCTGCTGCGCTGGGGCGGCGCTGCGCGTGGGTGCTGCGCGGGCTGGCGGTGTACCTGGCGGCGTTCGCGGCGGTGTCGTCGCTGCTGGTGGCGCAGCGCGGGCGCTACGTCCTGTGGACCGTGTGGTACCTGCCGCCGCTCGTCTTCGTCAACGCCGTCAACTACACGAGCCTGGCGGCGCTCGACCTGCATCGCGCAGCCTGCGCCGCCGCCGCGCGCCGCCTGCGCATCGCGCTGCGCACGCGCGCCCTCCGCGCAGGTGCCTGCACGCCGGTCCGCTCTGAATTGAATTGAATTGATGCCTTATTTTATGCCT